GTGGATGTAAACAGTGGATTACGTTAGCTTAAAGTACCACATCATAAATTACTGCTCTTTTCCTCTCCTTTAAGCCGAGGGATATCCTGTGTGGAGCAGCAGACGAGGTGTTGGCTGTGCTGAAGAATGACAAGATGAGAGACAAAGAAAGGAGGAGGGAGGTGGAGCAGTTGCTGGGGCCTACTGACGACACACGCTACCACGTCCTGGTCAACCTGGGCAAGAAGATCTCTGACTATGGTGGAGACAAAGAGCTCCAGAATATGGGTAAATAATTTAGCTCCAGTCTGAGTCCAAACTCTTCTCATCATGATGTTCAGCAAGGTCACACCTCTCTTCTCTTTTTGCAGATGACAACATTGATGAAACCTATGGAGTCAATGTGCAGTTTGAGTCTGATGAGGAGGTGAGCTTCTACATGATGGTTGTTGGTGGTCTGATTGTATTTTTTTTAGCTCTTGAGGTGACACCAGCATGTATTTGTTTGTGTAGGAGGGCGATGAGGACCAGTACGGAGAGGTTCGGGATGAAGGCTCTGATGACAGCGAGGGAGTGGAGGCAGATGAGAGCAGCACCCTGACTGCTAACGTAAGTCACATGACCTTGTCATAGAGCAGTGGTTCTCAACCAGGAGTTGTCTTCAACAAAGGCAGGATTTGGAGTTGGAAATGCTTGAGAACCACTGACAGAGTCAAAAATCCAACCTAACATGTTCTTGTCTCTTTAGCTGGGAAACACAGGCGACGTAATGATGACCAAAAAGAAGGATCTTCACCCCCGAGACATTGATGCCTTCTGGCTTCAGCGACAGCTCAGCCGCTTCTATAATGATGCCATCGTGTCTCAGAAGAAAGCAGATGAGGTCTTGGAGATCCTTAAGGTGGGTAATGTTCCAAATCCTTGGAGACCAAGAGATTTGAATGTGTATGTCTTCCTGTGTGGCTGATTCATTCCTCCCTTTGGTCAGACTGCCAGTGATGACCGAGAGTGTGAGAACCAGCTGGTGCTGCTTTTGGGCTTCAACACATTCGACTTCATCAAGGTCCTCCGCCAGCACAGACGAATGAGTAAGTAGATCACAATAGTCAGGATTGTGTCAGATTAAATGGACTATGATTTCTGAGAATATGGTTCCAATATGACTTTGTGCAAGCAGTTTGAAGATTTACAATGTTTTTAAAAGCATTGTGTCATTTTGCTCTTTTTTTTGTCATATCCAGTCCTGTACTGCACCATGTTAGCCAGTGCTCAAAGTGAGGCTGAGAAGGAAAAGATCATGAATAAAATGGAAGCTGATCAGGATCTTTCCAAAGTTCTTTACCAGCTGCAGGAGACTGAAAAAGAGGACATCATCAGGGTCAGAACTTCCCCTCCTTATTTAGTTGGTTTAGCTGAGTGTTTGAGATTTAGCAGTTTAAAGAAGGATAGCCATTTGTAAGCTTATGATCTTGTGTTTCCTTAAAGGAGGAGAGATCTCGCCGGGAGAGAGTTAGAAAGTCTCGTGTGGATGATCTGGAGTCTATGGACATTGATCATGGAGAGGTAAAAGCCTTTTTTTTTTAGTTACTACTACAAGCGCATTTTAATTTGATGACCCAATGTTCATGTACTGTCTTACAGTTATATTATTCCTGTGTTCTTTGTCTCTAGGCTATGACCTCGAGGCAACTACTAGATCTGGAAGATCTGGCCTTCACTCAGGGCAGTCACTTCATGGCCAACAAGCGCTGCCAGCTGCCTGATGGCTCCTTCCGCAAACAGAGGAAGGGTTACGAGGAAGTCCATGTGCCCGCTCTCAAACCCAAAGCCTTTGGTGATGATGAGGTATTTTGCTCTATTTTGTGAGACATTTTCTTCAAGTGGGGATAAAAAGGTTCTTCTGTGGGGGATTTCTGGTTGTTTGGTTATTACATCAAATTACCACACAAGAATACACTGCCGTTCAAAAGTTTGAGGTCAGTTAGATTTTTAATGTTTTTGAAAGAAGTCTGTTTTGCTTACAGTTATAACAGTTAACTATTTTATTTTTTTAATTTATATTTTAAAAATGTAATTTATTCTTGTGAAGGCAAAGCTGAATTTTCAACAACCATTGATGCAGTCGTCAGTGTCACATGATCCTTCAGAAATCGTTCTATTATGCTGATTTGCTGCTCAAGAAACAATTCTTATCAATGTTAAAATGGTTATACTGCTTAGTATTTTTAGTGGAAACCGTGATTCATTTTTCAGGACTTTTTGATGAATAGAAAGAACAGCATTTATTTGAATATAGTATATTATATACAGT